GCTAGATTAGCTGCTGTGAAAAAAGAGGAAGAAGAAAAGATAGCAGGGATGAAGGAGAAAATGAAAGAGCTTTCAGCTGAGGTGACGTGTCTTACGGAGACCATCGCCATCATACAGGAACAGCTGAAAGAAGACGATATGGTTTTGTTGAAGGTTTGCGTTGTCCAATTTGAAGCTTATCTCCTTATTGTTTGCAAAAAGCCTCTGCCTTAACATGTTGTTTTTTTTTCTCTCACCCAGAATTTTAAAGACACACAAGACCGGTAGGTTTATTAAAAAGCAAACAAAAAATGTGTGCAAAACATGTAATTACCTATTAATAGCCCATGTAATTTTTTGAATGCATTAACTTGATGTTATCCCCCCAAAAAGGAAAAAAAAATCAGGGATTTCTCAGTGCGATGATGCAACTTAACAAACAACTGCGAGAAAAAAAGCCCAGGATGTCTAGCCACATCATAAGACTCCATAATATCAGTGCTTGACCTATTTCTGTCTGACCCAGGATGGCTTTTGCCGTGCTTATTTTTATCTTCATCTCGTGTGGCTGAATATGTTTCTGGAACACAATTCATGGTTTGCACACAAGAAGTACAAGAGGAAAAGCAGAAACATTCACGTCAGTCTGAGGCCTTACATGTCTGACATTTTAATATTAGTAAATATGTAAGCTTGTGGCCTTATGAAAATGCACCAACACAGTGCAGGCATTATTGAAAAAAAGAAAGCCAGTTTTTTAAAGTTGCAGTTACATTTGCACAGGATTTCATGGCTACCTGTTTATATATAAAGATCCTTTCATTTTTGTTATACATTGGATACATCTAAAGCTTCTAACAAAATAATTGCTGCCTTCTCCTCAGACTTAAATCGTACTAAAAGTACGATTTCAGATGAAATGCTGTCTGTATTTAATCTATTTTTGGCTGCCACCTATTTTATATTCTGCCCATCTTCAGCTGCGCACCTTTCTCTTTTTGAAGATCGTAAAAGGTGTCTCTTTCATCATTTTGTACCCAGCACGTTCATTTTCACAAGTCTTAAAATGTGGCCTGCTGTCGTTGCTGACGGCTGGTTTAGCCTGTTTGTGTCGAAACTTAACAGCTACAAGAGCTAAGCCTTACTATGAATGGAAACATGGGGAATGAGGAGCCACTCAGTTCACCGATATATGAGTTTGGATGTTGTGTTTTCCTCTTTTTTTACAGTTTGATTTTTTTTTAAACTTCCCAGTCTCTAATTGAATCGTGAGTTTTTAAGTATGCAGATTAAGGCCAGGTAAAAACAAAGGTTTGCTGGAGGATGGGCTGTCAACGCTAAAACAGTCACATCCTGAATGATTACATTCCAGACCTGCTCTGAGTTACCAACTAGTCTCCACCATTCTTCAACAACTAGCCAATGGGGCTTTATTTCCTGCTTTCCAGCTATGCTGCATGCAGGCTCTTTCTTTTTTTTTTTCAGCTGCTGCATGATTCACGTTACTCCCACAGTAGACATGCACAGGAAAAACAGCAGTTGGAACTTCATGTCAAGAACAATAGGGTGTCCATACGCTTTAAGGCTTTCTGGGGACACGTTTAATTAGGTGTGATAATGCTACTATGTTGTTGCTGTTTACCGTGGAGTCATTAAGGACTTAAACTCGAGGACTTGTTGGTTGGAGTTGTGGATTTATTCTATATACGTGACGAGCTCTTGGCCATGTCACTCCCAGAGGAGGATCTTACGTGCCCAGTGTGCTGTGACATTTTCACAGACCCTGTTCTGTTGTCATGCAGTCACAGCTTTTGCAGGGGCTGTCTTAAACATTGCTGGGACACAGGGATACGAGAGTGTCCAGTTTGTAGGAAAAAAGCGTCAAAGTGCAACCCTCCATGCAACTTGGCGCTGAAGAATGTTTGCGAGGCTGTTCTTCAGGTCAGGAAGCTGAGCTCAGTGGAAGGGGAAGACAAGGTGAACTGCATTCTTCATGGAGAGAAGCTGAAACTCTTCTGCCTCAATGACAAACAGCCCATCTGCGTGGTGTGTCAGTTGTCCAAACTGCACAAGACCCACGACTGCTCGCCTATAGATGAAGCACTGCTGGACTGCAAGGTGAGGGAGACATACATAGCTATTGGTTATCTTAACAAATTCTGCAGTTTGCTTTTAAGGTAACACCTTATGGTAGAATGCTGCTCCACAAGTCAGGCCTGAATGTAATGCACCCTTCCAGGGATTGACTCAGATCTGCAGTACCTAAAGTACTTTACACATTAAATTTGGTGTCTGTTGACTGAGGCCTGCTTTACTTCCAGGACGAACTTGCTTTATCCATCAAGAACCTGCAAGAAAAGCTGGACAACCTAAAAAGAATTAACATGACGTCCAGTAACACACTAATGTGCATCAAGGTAACCTGTGATGAGCTGACAGATGTTTCATATTTGTCAGGAAAATATGCCCGACCTAATAAAAGAGCTTGT